TTAAAAGATCCACGCCTTCTTATAGGCCTTTAAAATATTAATTCAAAAACAATTCACGCCTCCTTAATTAATTTAAAAAAATCGAGGACTCCTTATGAGCCTTGAAAAAATAATTTAAATAATCCACCAATCTTTATAGGTGTTGAAAATTTGATGTTAAAAAATCAACGACTCTTTATACGGCTTGAAAAATTAATTTAAAAAAATCACGGGCTTGAAAAATTAATTTAAAAAATCCACTCCATATATCTACCTTACAAAAATATTAGGTTGGGAAAAAAGAAATCCATTATTTTTATATGAACTACATGCTTCGGAATGCCCGATGCGGGCCAAATATGCACCTTTTTTTTCTTGCAATTTTAAATGTTACTTCATACTGCCTCTCTCATAGAAGTCTTGCCTTCTACTTGCAAAAAAAAACTCTAATAGTCGATTTTCGCAATCCTCCCTAGATACCAAATTTTATCATTAAAGAAATTTTGCAATGCAAGAAATCGCAATGATAATCGCTTGGTGCCAAGTCCGGACTGTATGCATTAAAACCTCCCAACCAAGCTCCCGAAGTTTCTGGCAAGTCACTGTAGATGTGTGTGGCCTAGCGCTGTCCTGGTGGAACGCAACGCCTCTCCTGTTGGCCAATTCTGTCTGTTTGTGCCCAATTGATATCATCAAACGGTTCAGTGGTTAACAGCAGAGATTAGAATTTATCTTTTGGCAATATGGAAGCAACTCATAATATATAATTCCTTCCCAGTCCCACCGCTCTTTGATCACGTTCGTTTTCGCACAGGGTTATCGTATGTGATCCATTTCTCATCTCCAGTCACCATCCGTTTAAGAAATATTCATATAATGGGACAACAAAAAGAAAAACTACCGTTATTTTTCAAAATTCCACTAAAAATATATTGTCCGGATTGCAAAGAATATTTCTAATATAATTTCATATCTCTCTTAACGAATTGATTTTTCACCAAATTTAAAAAAAAAATTAAAAATTTAAAAAATATTTTATTAAAATCCAAGCCTCAAGCCTTCATAAAAGTATATTTAAAAAATACGCCTATGGAGACTGTCTAAAAAAATACTTATTAAAATCCAAGCCTAAGAAAACTCCCTGGAAAACATATTTTTATTCTAATATCCGTTACATTTCTAACATTTGATTTAAATCTCTTTTGTATTTTCATCTTTTGCAAAAAACCACAAATGTATATTTCTTCTCTTATCTAAATGACTTTCAAAATCATTAATCACGAAACACCCTAATACACACACCTAAATCTACATTTATGTATATCATTTTTGTTTATATGACTTTCACTGAATTTCGAATGTAGATAATCTGCAAACTGATTAGTGTTTCGCTGCTGCTGTTGATGTTTTTTATTTTCATTTCAAACTTATATAATTAATAATCAGCTGTTAACATTGAAGACCTTTCATATTTACCACATGTGTATTAGCATTAGTATTATGTGCACAGTTTTTCGTTTCCCTTTAGTTTTTCGTTTCCTCTACTCTTTAACCTTTGGAATGGTATCGTTGTTGTGTTGATCATTTTGTAAATGTATTGCATGACACATTGGAGTCTACAGTTTTTTTCTTTCTTTTTTTTTTAAATGCTGTTGGTGATAACGTTAGTCTATATTTGATTGACATAACAGTTAATGGGCGAAAAACTAATACATTAGGGTATATATAATAATATTTGAGGGAAAAAATGGAAAGAAATATTTACACAAATTTTGTCCATATACGTGGATTTTAATATAACAAATTTAGTCTGCAAGAATCTATCAATTTTTAATATTTTTTTCGATATCATCAAGGGAAAATTGATATCATAGTAAAAAAATTATACATTCTTGCTGGTTCGGAGACAGACCATTTATTATGGGCTATAATGGGCCAGAAGGTTTTGAATTTCAAGTTCAATAAATTGAATTGAATAATGCACCGTTTTTTATTTGTTTTTTATTAATATTTTAAATTAAACAAATATATAATTGTGTTAATTTAAAACCCATTTATTTATAAAAAAAATTAATCTTCCTTTAAAAAATCAAATAAAAAAATCAATGTTGTGTCTGGAAAAAAATATTACCCAACACTATAAACTCCACGATCATGCAATGCATTCTAATGATATACACAAATATTCTTTTTTTGTCTTTTTCTTCTTTAGTTAGCTATTTCAAAACGCCTCAGGGGTAAATTTGAAATTCTAATTTCTTCCGACCTTCAATAACCAAGCAAGCATTTCATCAAAGATTTACATACGGTGTAAAGAATAGAGAACGTTTCGTCGTCCAAAAGGCGACTTGTATGTATCGTCGTTGTCGTCATTGTTATTTAATACATTCATTTGCTAGTGTTGTTGTGCGTGTGTATTGGATTTGGAAATAAATTCGGCGATAGATCAGTGAATTTGGGCATATAGAAGAATTTCTACTGCGACCGGACATTGTTATTGACAAAAATCGTGTTTTTTGCAAAACCAGTTTTTTCTTTTGATTTTGTTAAAAATGTTGGAATAGAAAGCATTCGATTTTTAATCAGCTGTAAACAAAAAAAAAAAAAACAGATTTTATAGCAAAATTTCTTCGGTTATTCATCACTAGGGTATGGGCCGATGGTAGCTCCCTAAAAAATATTTTAGAATCCTACGCCTTTTGATATACCTTAAAATTATTCTATAAAAATCCAAGCCTAAGGAGACTAATTAAAAAATATTTGTATCTTTATAAAGATATATTTAAAAAAACACGCCTAAGTAGACATCCTGAAAAATTACTTATTAAAATTCAAGCATAAGAAGACTCCCTAAAATATTTTTAAAGAATAATCCACAATTTGTAACCGGATGGAAAATATCTTTTCATAGCTTTTTCACGTAGGTGGTCCAGAAGGTCATAAAAAAAATAAAATAAAAAAAAAACAATAGCTAATTTCATGATGGATCGTATGGTCCACAGGACAAGATTTATTCTCATAGTGGGCCAAAATGTCTTTAAATAGTAGGGTTTCTCATAGTGTTTCAGAAAGTTTTCTAATTTTTGAACAGAACCTCTTCTCAGGCAGTGAATTAGAAGATTTTCAGATGATCTTCTCATAGTGGATAATTTGGGAACTAATATATTCTCTCACCTGTAGACCAAGAGTCTAGTAGTATTCCAAAGGATCTTCCTTGTAATAATCGAACGAAACCTCTTCTAATAGTGGAGAAGAAGCTTTTCTCATAGAAGACCAACAAGACTTCTCCTAGCAAACCAATCGATCTGCTCAAAAATCTACTTATAGAAGAGTCCCTTTGATAATGGACTCAAAGGAAATCCTCTCAAAAACACCAGAAGCTCTTCTCATAGTGGGCCAAAAGGTCTTTCTCGTAGTCGACCAGAATGTATTTTTTTATTGCGGACCAAAACCATTTGTCATATGTGGATCAGAAGGTGTTCCCATAGCTGAAAAGGATTTTTTTCATAGAGGAACAGAAGTCTTTCAAGACCAAGGGGTCTTCCCATAAATGACCATGGGGTCTTCTCATAGAAGACCAAAGGGTCTTCTCGTAGAGGACCAAAGGGTCCTCTCATAGAAGACCAAAAGGTCTTCTCATAGGAGACCAAAGGGCTTCTATGAGAAGACCCAACGGTATTCTCATAGAAGACCAAAGGGTCTTCTCATAGAAGACCCAACGGTCTTCTCATAGAATACCCAACGGTCTTCTCATAGAAGACCCAACAGTCTTCTCATAGAAGACCCAACGGTCTTCTCATAGAAGACCAAAGGGTCTTATCAAGAAGACCAAGGGGTCTTCTCATAAAAGACAAAGGGTGCTCTTATAAAAGACCTAGGGGACTTCTTAAAGGATATTTTTATACAAGACCAAAGGGCCTTCTCATAGAAAATCAAAAGCTCTTCTCATAGAAGACCAAAAGGGTCTTCTTATAAAAGATAAAAGGGACTTCTCCTGAAGACCAAAGGGTATTCTCATAGAAGACCAAAGGGTTTTCTCATTGAAGACCAAAGGGTCTTCTCATAGAAGACCAAAGGGTCTTATCAAGAAGACCCTGGGGTCTTCTCATACAAGACCAAGGGTGCTCTTATAAAAGACCTAGGGGACTTCTCATAGAATACCAAAGGATATTTTTATACAAGACCAAAGAGCCTTCTCATAGAAAATCAAAGGATCTTCTCATAGAAGACCAAAAGGGTTTTCTCATAGAAGACAAAAATATCTTCTCATAGAAGACCAAGGGAGGTTTTCATAGAAGACCAAATGGTCTTCTCGTAGAAGACCAAAGTGTCTTCTCTTAAAAAGACCAAAGGGTCCTCTCATAGAATACTAAATGATCTTCTCATAGAAGAAGAAAATCCATTTTCTCATAGAAGAACAAAGAATCTTCTCATAGAAGACCAAAGGGTCTTCTCATAGAAAATCAAAGGGTCTTCTCATAGGAGACCAAAAGGGTTTTCTCATAAAAGACAAAAATATCTTCTCATAGAAGACCAAGGGAGGTTTTCATAGAAGACCAAATGGTCTTCTCGTAGAAGACCAAAGTGTCTTCTCTTAAAAAGACCAAAGGGTCCTCTCATAGAATACTAAATGATCTTCTCATAGAAGAAGAAAAGCCATTTTCTCATAGAAGAACAAAGAATCTTCTCATAGAAGACCAAAGGGTCTTCTCATAGAAGACCAATGGTACTTCTCATAAAAGACCAAAGGGACTTTTCCCAGAAGACTCATAGAATACCAAAATATCTCCTCATAGCAGACCAAAAAGGGTCTTCTATGAGAATACCTTATGATCTTGTATTCTCATAGAAAACCAAAGGATCTCCTTGAATACCATAATTTCTTCTTCTGAAAGTCTCTCAAAGAAGTCCAATATTCTAATATTTTTAAATTATTTTGAAAATTAAGAGAAACCTTATTTTATTTTTTTACAATTTTGATATTAACTTCCCAATTTGTTTTTTTCTTTTTCTATTTCCAGCATCCCGGTGGCGAAGAAGTCTTGATCGAACAGGCCGGCAAAGACGCCACAGAACATTTCGAAGATGTTGGCCACAGTTCCGATGCCCGTGAAATGATGAAACAATACAAAATCGGTGAATTGGTTGCCGAGGAACGTTCAAATGTACCCGAAAAATCCGAACCCACATGGAACAGCGAACAAAAGACCGAAGAATCATCAATGAAATCCTGGTTGTTGCCATTCGTTTTAGGCTTGATCGCTACATTAATTTACAAATTCTTCTTTGGTGCTAAATCCCAATAATTGTAAACAACAAACAAACTGTAACAAAAAACCATAAAAAACATACATAAATATATAATATATATAGACAAAGTAAACAAGAAAAAATGAGACAGTCAACAAAACAAAGCAAGCCTAATAGTGAGAGAAAGAAAATGAAAGCGTAAGCGATGGAGCAGAACATCACTACCAACAGCCACAAAAGCCAGACGCACTTTTTTCAAACTATTGTTTTTTATTAATTTAGAAAAAAAAGTCGTGTGAAATAATCTTTTCTTGATTTTATATGTACTCACACACACACAGTCACTCACAAATTGTGTACCACTGTCATTCCTTTAACGTTTTCCAAAATTGCTGGATGTTTTGCAATTCTGCATTTAAAATTTTATACTCCTTTCCTTTTTTATACCACACACACACACTCACTTCCCCTTTTTATATCCTTATCCCTTTGATGATTTTTTTTTTAAACAACTATTTGTATATTTTCCATTTGTACTCCCCCCTAACCTTCATTAAAACCTTAAGAGTGCTCTTTACAAAGTGTCTAACAATTATGTAAATCTGCCTAAAGTAAAAAAACAAATGTAATGCTTTTATAGTTAAATTTATATATTTGCTATTTTGTCTTCTATATATAGAAAAAAACAGTAACTGGAAGAAATGTTCTATATAGAAACAATAACAAAGGAAAAACCCAATTTTTTCATGTGTAAAATATCTAATTTTCTTTTTAATAAGTAATTTTCATTTTAGCATCCATAGTTTCTTTAAAATAAAGAAAAGAATAATAATAATAATTAACACATAGGAATGATGTAAAACCTAAACAAAACAAACATACAAAAACATTGTTGTAAGGAAATGGGAAAAATTGTTTTTAAATTTTTTTATTTTGTAATATCCTTATTCAAAATATTCATTCTCTTTTTACAATTCTAAGATGAGATGAGATAAGTAAATAAAAATCTATTTAAATAAATTATAAAAACATATTTGTGTGTGTGGTTAATTGAAAAATCAGGACAATAAGGACATTCTATATAAGGAAAATACAAAAGTTCGGTCGTTTCCACGACAGAGGGGTCTACGATCCGAAACGACCCGAGTCTTCCTCGGCCAACGTCAAAATTTTGCACAGCGTACTGAAATTACTACAGGTTGTCGTCCGTGAAGTTTTGTTGGAATCGGTTCAGATTTGGATATAGCTCCCATATATATTTTCGTCCGATTTTTTGTAAATAGGAAACCGAAACGACCCGAGTCTTCCTCGGCCAACGTCAAAATTTTGCACAGCGTACTGAAATTACTACAGGTTGACGTTCGTGAAGTTTTGTTGGAATCGGTTCAGTCTTGGATATAGCTCCCATATATATTTTCGTCCGATTTTTTGTAAATAGGAAACCAAATAGCCAATGTTTGTCCGATTGAGACAAAATTTTGCACAGTGTACTGAATTATGTCCTGATTGATGTATGCGAAGTTTTGTTGGAATCGGTTCAAATTTAGATATAGCTCCCATATATCGTTTCGTCGGATTTTATGTAAATGAAGCACCAAACAGCCAATATTTGTCCGATTAACACAAAATTTTGCACAGCGTACGGAAATTATTACAGGTTGACTTTCGTGATGTTTTGTTGGAATTGGTTCAGATTTAGATATAGCTCCCATATATATTTTCGTCCGATTTTATATAAATGGTGTACCAAATTTCCAATATTTGTCCGATTGAGACAAATTTTTGTACCGGGTACTGAATTAGGTTCTGATTAATGTGTGCGAAGTTTTTTTGGAATCGGATTTAGATATAGCTCCCATATATATTTGCGTCCGATTTTTTATAAATAGTGCATCAATTCGATTGAGACAACATTTTGTACAGCGTATTGGATTAGGTCCTGATTGATTTCGCAAATAGAATAGCTTCAGATTTAGATGTAGCTCCTATATATATTATCGTTGGATTGTATATAAATGGTGCACTTACCTCTCAATGTTTGTCCGGTTGAGACTAAATTCTGTACAGCATACTGAATTAGATTCTGATTGATGTATGCAAAGTTTTGTTGGAATCGGTCCACATTCAGATATAGCTCCCATATATAGATTCGTCCTATTTTTTGTAAATGGAGCATTAAACACCCAATATTTTTCTGATTGTGACAAAGGGTATCATATAGTCGGCCCCGTCCGATTTTTGAACTTTCCGTATCGGTTTTTGCATACTACATACGGAACGAATCGAAATGGAACTGTTTTATAGATTTTGTACATATGTAAATAAAAAGATATTTTCTATACAAAACATTCTAGACGTAATACACAAATTTAATAGATTCAACAACGATTTCAACAAACATTTATTTGTTCAACAATTTTTTTTGCAAAAATATATAGCATATTTTTAGGCGTTAAATATATTTTGAATATTTTATTAAGGAATTCGTGCTTTGTGATGTCTTTCTGCATTGGAATGTAACATTGTAAACTAAAAATTAAAAAAATATATATATTTGATTTTATAGTTAGAATGTTGAAGGAAGCTGTGAACAATGTCCCGGACACTCTTCTGAAGAGCTATAAGGCTTCATGTCCTTTAACATACCCTGGGAAGAGATCTCTGCCAGTATGGTGGTCACAAAACCGTGCATCCTTGGAGAAGGCTGTAATGAAAGCATATAATAGAGCTAGTAGGACAAAACTCAGTACAGATTGGGACATTTATAGAGAACAGTTCAATAGGTACAAGAGTGAAATCAAGAAGGCTAAACGTGAGTCTTGGGTCTGCTATAGTGAGTCAATCAAAGAAGTTAACGAAATGGCCAGATTTCGCAGAGTTCTATCTAAAGATCCAAAGTCTACAGATGGTATCAAGCGACGTGACGGGACGTGAACAAATTCTGGTAGTTAGACTCTTGATATTCTATCATCAACCCACTTCCCTGATTGTAATGACCATAATGACGATGTGCCGTGTACGCATCGGCTGTTCGAACCAGGGAGGAGAAGAAGCTGATAGAAAACACTATAAACTACCCAAAAACTGGTATGGGCGATAAAAAGTTGTGAACCATACAAAATTTCAGGCCCAGATGGTATAATACCGGTCATGCTGCAACACGCAGATGAACGAGTATTAGCCACTCTGCAAGACATTTTTAGGGCTTGTCACTCTTATCGTACATACCTAGTCTATGGAAAGAGGTAACAGTGACCTTCATCCCGAAAGCCGAGACGCCGAGTCATACGCTACCAAAGGACTATAGACCGATTAGCCTTTCTTCCTTTCTACTCAAGACTTTAGAAAGATTATTAGACTCAGAAATAAGGAACACTATTGAATACAGCCTTACATGAGGTGGCTGGACGTATCGAGAAGAATATGGAGTTCTCTGGTTACACTTTGGTTGCGTTTCTTGATATTGAAGCAGCCTTCAACAATGTGAAGCTAGAGGCTATCCGTTCTGCTCTCGTAAGCTCAGGTATCCCCTCACCTTTAACGGACTGGATTGATAGAATTCTGGAAATTAGAATTTTCCGTTCATTCTTAGGAGAGAGTTTCGTGGTGAAATCTGTCAACAGAGGCACACCGCAGCCTCTTCTATGGCTTCTGGTGATAAATGAGATACTGCTGAAATTCGATCATCTTAAAATAAAGGTTGTAGCCTATGCTATGGGGTGTTTGAGAGAAAAATTCTCCAAAAGATCTACGAATATCGGCGTCGAATGAACCACGAGCTTAACAATTTATACGCGGACATCGACATAGTCACTCGAATGGAGCTGCTGCGACTACGGTGGCTAGTCCATGTTGTGCGGATGAATGAAAATGCCCCAGCTCAAAAGGCATATAAAAATGAGCCTACTGCTGGTTCCCGTAGAAGGGGAAAGCCATGAATTAGATGGAAAGACATCTTGGAACGTGGTCTTCCAAATTTGTGGACTTGCGCACAAGACCGACGCGCTTGGAAATCTTTTTTAAGCTCGGCTTATGGAATAACCGTTCTGTAACAAGCCAGCTAAGTATAGTAAAGTAAGCCTATGCCCATGATGGAGTCTTGCTAGTCTCTGGGAATATTTCTGACTGCCATTTCTGATATTATGTACGGCGCCCTTTCAACACTGTCCGACTGGGCACATGCCAATGGTCTTGGTGTAAAGCCCGCTAAAACAGAATTGGTGCTATTCACTAGGAAACGTAAGATTGGACATTTCTGAAGAAGCAAAATACCTTGACCAAAACACCACAAATTAAAGTGGAATACGAATGTTGAAGAACGCTCTAAAAAAGGACTAATAGCGCTCTATTCCTGCAAGAACTCCATAGGTAAGATTTGGGGACTAAGATCAGAGATCATACATTGGTTGTATGTGACGGTCGTACTCCCCATTCTTAGATATGGATGCCTTATATGGTGGTAGGAGGTCAACAAAAAGATATTGCTGACTAAAATGAACTTAGTATAGCGATCGGCTTTGATCCTGACTACCGGAGCGCTAATAAGCGCACCACAGGTAGCCTTGAATGTGATCTTGAACCTCCAACAACTGGACACTCTGATTATATTCCCTCTCATAGAGATTTTAACAAGTTTTCTAGTAGAGAATCCTGGACTAGTGGCTCCTTGCTTCCGCCAGGTCTGTCATTTTTCACAGGCACTGGAGGAAGGCACTGGTGCAGGTGTTTACTGTAGGGAATTAGAAAACAACAACTCATATAAACATAAAAATCTTTGTAGCGTTTTCAAGCAGAAATTTTTGAAATCAATTCTTGAATCAAAAGCGGCCGAGATAGTCAAAACATTTACTGCCGAAAATACGGGACCGGTGACTATATATGTCGGTAGTCAAAGCTTTAAAGTCGTGCACTTTAAAATCAAAAGCAGTCCTTGATTGCAAGGCTGCTCTGCATGATATACGATGGATAGTTAATTTATGTTGGGTTCCACGACATTGCAACATAGAAGGGAATGAGATAGCCGACGAGCTTGCACGAGGGTGTTCACAGTCGTCCAATCTTCCGATTGAGAGATCTGTGCAACCACCCATTGGCTATTTCATTGGCAAAATCCGCTTGATCTACGGCGAGGTAGTCGGTAACACATGGTCAAGAGAACCTGGTTGCAGAATCTCGAAAGCTATCTGACCTGAATTCTCTCGCCGAAGAACTTCTTCGCTGTTGTCACATAAGAGGGAGATCAAAATCATTGTGGGAATCATAACAGGTCACTGCAAGATTAAATCCCTCACTTCGAAATGGGAGAGGATTACTGTTGTCGATGTGAGGACGAAGAGGAGCTAGAAACAATTGAACATATCCTCTGTAGATGTCCATCGCTGAGTGCCGCAGGACACAGACAGTTTGAAAAATATGAAATTGATAATCTAGCGTTCTTCTCCAAAATAGACCCCAATCAGATCCTAGGCTTTGTCAAAAGTCTGATGTGGCTAAAATAACCACCTTTTTGGCTCTCCAACTATTTTTTTCTCTCTTCCATTATCTTTTCCTTTCCATTTTTTCTTTTCCTTTCAAGGATTATCATAATGGACAATTGCCTCTGAGTGAACGGTTGTACTCAACTATCGTACATCCCTAACCTAACCTATGCCTACCTTGCAATAATTATGTCATATTTTCCTTTTTATACCCTACACAACTATGTTGTCAGGGTGTTATAGCTTTGTGCAGCCGCAAGAGTTTGTAACGCCGCGAAATATTGGTCCTAGACCCACCTTTATGTATACCGATCGTCATATCTCGACTAGCTGAGTCGATCTAGACATGTGTGTCCGTCCGTCCGCCCGTCCGTCTGTCTATTATAATTTGTATACACGATACAGGCCACAGTTATGGACCAATCTTCACGAAATTTTGCATGTAGGTTGGTTTCTGGCCAATGAAGACCCCTATTGTTTTTGCTGGAGATCGCTTAATATTTAGGGGATGAAATGGTCCAAATACTAAATTTTTGTCGGTTTTTCTGGTCGCTCCAGAGGCCGCAATTATAGCCCGAACATCGCGAAATTTTACATGGAGAAGGGGATCGGGCCAAAGAATAAGCATGCCTGTTTTGATAAAGATCGGTCAATATTTGGCGGGTCAAATGGACCCTGACTTTTGTGTGAAAAAAATTACAAAATTTGTATTATATAGCGTATATATTTACTCCTGAAGGACATAGACCCGAGAAGTTGATAATATATCCAAGAGGAGACGTTGGCCTTTAAATTGATACCAAGTATATTGTCGTATGTACTCGGATGGGGGAGTTACATGTACATATTTTCAAGTGCTTACGTATTCAGATATTATTTAGTAAACCATTACCACACTGGAGGGCGGAAATATAGAGCTGATTGCTTTGATAGGTTCCATGAGGTTCCAGTTATGGTCAAGGACAACGCCTATAATTTTCGGCGATGATGAGATAATAATTTTGGGATGAAGTGGACCGAAAACTTAATTTTTTGTGTGTTTTCGAGTCGATCTATAGTCCACAATTTAAAGCCGAACATCACAACACAACCCACGGTGAAGGGAATCTGGACAAGTAATTAGAAGGACTGTACTGAATATAAGTAATATTTGTTGACCTCTAGTCGATCAAGAGGGTGCAAATATCGCGAAATAGTGTCCATGCTCAGAATATAGAACCAAAGAAAGTTAGATTTTCGTCAAAGTTGTGTAGGGTATCATATGGTCGGCCCCATCCGACTATACTGCTCCGCTCACTGGTTAAAAATTGTTTTATAAACAAAAACAACAAACTAGGATTTGAAATAAAAAACCAAATACAAAAGGCATTCCCTACTGAAAATGTTTTTCCAAAAATGAAATATTGTTACAATTTATTATTAATTTAATAAATAAATATTTATTCAAATATATTTTTTCAATACTTTGGTTCATTAACTTATGTGGTTCGTAATATTAAAAATACATTTTTATTCTAATTATAGTTACAAGAATTATGATATATAAATTTCCTCAAGAAGGTACGAATTTAAATATGCTAGCGGATCCTTTGTAATCGATTTTGTTTTTCGATTCCATAGAATAATCAACGAATTGATGCCGCTGCCAAATTATTCGAATTCAGATATTGCAGTTCGTGTTGATGCTGATGATTTTGACCAGCCAAGGGCAGATGGTGGGAATACTGATGCAAAGATTGATGGGATTGATGTTGCTGCTGTGGATGATGCAATGGATGCGGGTGGTAATGCGAATGCGATGGATAGGAACGATTGACATTGGAATGTAAATGTGGAGTCGGTGTGGGCGGCGGTGGTGGTGTCAATTGCATATGGGCTAAATGGTGTTCAATTAAAATATTCGAATGATGATGACTTTCGTGATGATGATGATGCGAATGATGTTGTTGGTGATGTGGAGAACTGTCATAACCTCCAATACCATTTGTTGTGGATGATGAGTTGGGTGTTGTTGTTGATGAGGTACTTAAATCCGGCGATGGTGTTTCCGAATACCAAATTACATTATCCGTTGGATGTGAGGTGGGTGGTGTTGGTGGGGTCGATGATGAGGACGCCAAGGTTATCAAATAAGAGGAGGTAGTTTCATGCAGTTGTTCGGAGTTGGAATTTGTTTGTTGTCCATTTTGTTGTTGTTGTTGATGGTGGTGATAGGATTCCGTATCGTAACGTGTCTTTTTGCTGGGATTTGCTTCAGTTTGACACCAGCTTGGTTGACCATTACTAACTCCGTTTGTAAGATAGGTGTTGGAGGATTGTGTCCGAGCCGTGTTCGAGGAGGAGGAGGACGAGGTAGCAGTGTGATGATTAACTTGATGATGTAAACCAAAGGGCCAGTTCTGTAAAGAAGAAGAAAATCAATTAATATAAAAATTGACACTTACGTTTTCATATGATAAAGAATATTTTTTTTAAAGAAAAGCGAATAAACGAAGGTATTTTTGAAACACCATGATTGTCTTTTTTATGTTTTTGTTTATAAAAATTATAAGTTGACTTTTGAAGAATACTTTTTCCAAAGACTATATTTTAATTTTTAAAATTTTTTTATTTAAAAAAAATATTTTTTAAAATTCCAAAAGCGTCTATTTTTTTTAAATATATTTTCTTACATTTTTAAATTTTTTTAACTAAAAAAATTATTATTAAAAAATTGAAAAAAAATTCACAAGCGTTGGTTTTTTTTTTTCAAAGTCTATAGGTAGTATCAAGCGAAGTGGCGGGACGTCGACAAACTCTGGTAGTGAGACTCTCGATCTTCTATCATCAACCCACTTCCCTGATTGTTATGACTATAATGATGATGTGCCGTGTACGCATCGGCTTATTGTTTGAACCAGGGAGGATGAGAAGCTGATTCTGTAACTTTTAACAACATTCGATATTGTTTAATTTTCTTTTGTTATTGATTTTTAAATAATTATTTTTTTTTAAATTTCACGCTTATTGATTTAAAAAAAATTAATCCACAAGCGAGGAATTAAACAAAATATTTTTTTTTAAATTCCACAAGCATGGATTTAAAAAAAAATAAATTATATTTTAAGATTTTTAAAAAAAAGATTTTAAATTCATGAAGCGTGTAATTAAAAAAAATATTTTTATACCCTTCACCACACTGTGGTGCAGGGTATTATGTCTTTGTGCATATGTTTGTAACAGGCAAAAGTAAACGAGATAGACACATGGTTCCTTTTGAGTATATGCATAGAATCACTTTCTAAGCCGATTTATGCATGTCCTTCTGTCTGTCCATGTTAAATTGTAAACAAAGTACAGGTCGCATTTATGATCCGAATTGGATGAAATGTGGCATAGGTCACTTATTCGGCCCAAGGACGAACCCTATTGAAATTTGGAAAAATCGGTTCAGATTTAGATATAGCTCCCATATATATATTTAACCGATTTAATGTAAACGGTCCCTATATATCTTTCGATTTGCACGAAATTTGGTACAGCCTAATCATTTAGGTCTAGAATGATGTCTGCCAAGTTTCGGGAAAATCGGTCCAGATTTCAATATAGCTCCCATATATATTTTCGTCCGATTTCATGTAAATGGTGCCCCAAAGTCCCTATATATATTTCTATTTGCACGAAATTTGCCATAACGTACTGAATTAAGCCTAGAATGATGTCTGCCAAGTTTCGTGAAAATCGGTCCTGATTAAGATATAGCTCGCATATATAGTTTCGTCCGATTTCATATAAATGGTGCACCAAAGTCCCTATATATCCTTCGATTTGCACGAAATTTGGCATAACGTACTAAATTGAGCCTAGAATGATGCCTGCCAAGTTTCGTGAAAATCGGTCCAGATTTCTATATAGCTCCCATATATAGTTTCGTCCGATTTCATGTAAATGGTGCACCAAAGTCGCTATATATCTTTGGATTTGCACGAAATTTGGCATAACGTACTGAATTGAGGCTAGAGTGATGTCTGCCTTGTTTCGTGAAAATCGGTCCAGATTTAGATATAGCTCCCTTTTATTATAGATTGATTTTAAGTAATTGACACACCAAGGAACCAATAGGCTGATAGGAACAAAACGTTCTGAAATTAGTATAACCTAACCTGTGACTAGTTTGTTTGAAATCCGTTAATATTTGGATAGAGATTCCATATATATTTTCGCCCGATTTCAAGTAAATTGGGCATCAAACTCCTCATGTTAGTCAGATTGACATCAAATTTTGCACAACTTACAAAATTGAGCATATAATTACGTAGTTGCGTTTTCTAGAAGTACAGACATAGCCCAACGGATGACATATTTATATTTGTTTGAAGTCGATTTACATACTTTATGGATAGATCTAGGTAGATTTACATGTAGATAAATATCACATATTTTATTTCATCCAATTTCATGTTAATAGTCCTGTTTAATATACCCATAGTGGTGAAGGGTATCATATAGTCGGCCCCGTCCGACTTTAATACTTTCCTTACTGGTTTTAAATGCAAAATATATTTTTTTTTGGAAAATATATTTTTTGGAATTATACAATTTAAAATTCCATGTGTGGATTTAAAAAAATATATATAAATTTCCCAAAGACTATCAGTTTCCAAAGGCGTAGATTTTTAAAGAATATTTTTCCCAAAGACTCGGTTTCTCAAGGCGTGGAACTTATAGTCTGTGCGCATTAATTTCTTTATGATATCGCAGCCCCTTGAATATGCCCCTCCATAAATGTCTAAATTTTTCCCCGCTTCTCTTCTCTAATTTACAACCATAAACAATCACTTAAGACAATGTAATAAAATTCTTGTTGTTGTAACCAACAATTGATGAAAAAAATGAATGAAAAAAAATCCAAAAAATAACAAATTGGCCAACAAACAAAAAGGAATTCATCATTTCCACAAATGGGAAGCATCAAACCAAACAGCCATCCAACCAGCCAACCCAACAACACCATCCACACAAAATAGGCATCATTAAACTAACCAGCAAATTGTGTGTGTGTACGTGTGTGTCTTGATATTTGCCACATGCTAATTACAACCGTATTATGCATATCCTCTTATTTCCAAACAACTTATCTTCTATGTCGCCTTAGCCACGGCCACCACCGCCACCATCAGCAGCAGCAACACCATGTTGTTTGCCTCACATCATCACAACATTTTGTGGGCAATAAAATGTGTGTGTGTGTGTGTGTGTCTGTCTGTGCGTATGCGGTATTTTCATGGCCTAAACAAATTATCAAAAGCACCAATAACAACAATAAAAATAAATAACAAAAATAATAATAACACACATTCAAATACCAAAAAACACATCATTCATACGCGCGATGGATGGGCCATGGAGAAATGATTCCATATGGACACCCTTTAAATTTTGTGACGTACTTTTTTCGTTTTGGTTTTGTTTATATTCCGATGTTTGAGAGAAAATAACTTATTGGGGAATTGGGAATTTCTCGAAAAAAATAGATGCGATCACTTATGTTAATTACACTATGTACAATAATAAATATTTTTTGCAATAGCTCCCATACTCCGAGGAACTAGTAGAACCTCAAGTCCATCAGCTCCCGAAGAGTGGTTTTACTTATTAATTTTTTTTAAGAATCAGCCGTCTTAGATTTAATATATATATATATAACGAATATTTTTTTTCAACGGTCTACAGATTTTAGAAAAACATATTTTCTCAAGAATATACAAGCGCTTATTTAGAAAAATAATCTAGGCATAGGTTTGCAAAAAATTTCCATAATCTTCAGGAGTGGATTAAAAACAATCAAAAATCTAGAGACTTGAATTTAAAAATTATTGTTTAATTTGAATACACAGGTCCTGATTAAAAAAAATATTTATAGAAGGATGTACTGGCGCTGATTTTTTTATAAATAATATTTTAAAATAACACATGAATATTTTTGCAAGGATCCATAGTTGATGATATATTTAAAAAAATGTTTAAGCTACTTCCAATGTGGATTAAAAAATCAAAGATCTACAGGCTTGGATATAAACCATCATTTTTCAAGGATCTACATACCTACATATTTTTTAAAAAAGATCGATTTAAAAAATTTAAACCAAATATCTGCAGACGTGGTGTTTTTAAAAAAAAATATTTTTTGAAGGATCTATTTTTAACCAGTAAGGAAAGTAGTAAAGTCGGACTGGACCCTTCACCACGTTGGCTATATTCTACATATGTCTCCTAACAGACTCCGATTTATTTACATAAATTTAATCTCAATCAGATACCCGTTTGTGTCTGCATCTGCACCAATTAAAAGAAAGATATAACGTCATTATAGCCTCTATTTGATACGTTTCATGTCAACCGGGTGTAACATTTACCTAAAATCCATTGAAAATACAAATGGGAACTGTATATAAATCTGAAACAATTTCAACCAAATTGTGTTACAATCGTACAAACTTTGGGGTTTTAGTGCACACTTTACATAAAACCGAAGGAAAATATAAATGGGAGCTATATCTACATCTGAACCGATTTTCACAATATTTGACATACATCTTTCTAGCCGCTTTCAGTTGAAATCTGACGAAAATATATATTGGAGCTGTATCTGAATCTGAACCGATTTTCTCGAAACTTAGCACACATCATTCTACACACAATTCAGTACCCTATGCCAAATATCGAAAGATATATAGGGACACCATTTACCATAAATCAGATGAATATATATGGGAGCTATATCTACATCTGAATCTATTTTCACTAAACTTAACACACATCATTTTGCATTTAATTCCATACGCTGTGCCAAATTTCGTGGGTCCGTCCTTGGGCTAAACAAATGAGATGTATCAAAATTTATCTAAGTTCAACAGACAGACGGACGGACATGCATAAATCGACTCAGAAAGTGATTTTATGCATATTCTCAAAAGGAACCGTGTGTCCATCTCGTTTCCGTTTGTCTGTTACAAACATATGCACAAAGACATAATATCCTGTACCACAGTGTGGTGAAGGGTATAAAAAACGTCGATTAAAAATGTAAACTATGAATATTTATTCAAGGATTTATTGTTGCTAATATATTTTTTTAAGGATGTACAGGCGTGAACTTTAAAAAAATCGTAGATCTATAGTCGTTTATTAAAAAATATACTTAACAGGCTTGGATTTAAAATATTATATTTTTAAATAATATTTTAAAAAAGGTAGTTTTAATAAAAGAATCTACAGACCCAAATTAAAAAAAAATCTGAAGATCCTCAAACATGAATTAAAAAAAGAATATTTTCTCAAGAAAATATATATATATTTTTAAAGGAACTACAGAAGTTGATTTAAAAAAATAATTTTCAAACATTTTTAAAATATTTTCAAGGATGCTGAAATATTTTTTAAGGATCTACAGGAGCTGATTGTAAAAATATATTTTTAAAGGATTTGCGAGCATAGATTAAAAAAATAATGTTTAAATATTTTTCAATGATCGATAGTTGCAGATTTATTTTTAAAGCTGTGGAATTAAAAAAAATCATAGATATGATGATTTTTTAAATATGTTTTGAAGAATATACAGGATCCTTTATATAAAAATAAATTTTGTAAAAATAAATTTTGTATACAGATGTTGATTTAAAAAAAGAATTTTCAAACATTTTTAAAATATTTTCAAGAACACTGAAATATTTTTTTAAGGATCTACAGGAGCTGATTGTAAAAATATATTTTTAAAGGCTCTGCGAGCATAGATTAAAAAAATACAAAAATATATTTTTATACAAAAATATATTTTGTATAAAGGATCTACAGAAGTTGATTTAAAAGAAATTTTCAAACATTTTTAAAATATTTTCAAGAATGCTAAAATATTTTTGAAGGATCTCCTGTAGATCCTATATATTTTTAAAGGCTCTGCGAGCATAGATTAACAAAATAATTTTTTAAATATTTTTCAAGGATCGATAGTTGCAGATTTATTTTTAAAAGTGTTGAATTAAAAAAAATCATAGATATGATGTTTTTTAAATATTTTTTGAGGGATATACAGGAGCGAATTTTTTAAACATATTTTTTTAGGGATCTAGAGAAATTGATTTTTTTTGAAAAACTTGGATTTTCAATTCTATATTATTAAGGAATGGATATTTAACGCCAGTAGAAAATATTAAAAAAAATATATTTTCTACTGGCGTTGATTAAATAAACAAATTAAACTTTTTAAAGGATCTGCAGGCATGGCTTATAAAAAGTAATTTACAAAGAATTTTTAAAATATTTTTCAAGGATCTAAAGGCATGGAATTTAAAAAAAAAATCATGGATAAGAACATTTGAAAAAAAATTTCAACCTTTAAAAAAATGTTCAAGTTCCTTAAAGAAACATTGGTATAGCCCTTCACCACACTGTGGTACAGGGTATTATGTCTTTGTGCATATGTTTGTAACAGGAAAAAGGATTCGAGATAGACCCACGGTTCCTTTTGAGAATATGCATAGAATCACTTTCTGAGTCGATTTATGCATGTCCGCCCGTCCGTCTGTTGATGTTAAATTGTAAACAAAGTACAGGTCGCATATATAATCCGATTTGGATGAAATTTGGTACAGCTCATTTATATGGTCCAAGGACGAACCCTATTGAAATTGGGAAAAATCGGTTCAGATTTAGATATAGCTCCCATATATATTTTCGTCCGATTTAAGGTAAATGTTGCACCAAAGTTACTATATATGTTTCGATTTGCACGTAATTTGGTATGGCCTATTGAATAAGGTCTAGAATGATGTGTGCAAAGTTTCGTGAAAATCGGTTTAGATTTAGATATAGCTCCCATATATAGTTTCGCCTGATTTTAGGTAAATGGTGCACCACAGTCTCTGTAAATCATTCGATTTGCACGAACGTTGGTATAGCCTACTAATTTAAATATAGAATGGTGTGTGCTAAGTTTCGTGAAATTCGGTTCAGATTTTGATATAGCTCCCATATATAATTTCGTCCGATTTAAGGTTAATTGTGTACCAAAGTCCCTAAATATCTTTCGATTTGGACGAATTTTGGTATAGGGTACTGAATTAATCTAGAATGATGTTGCTAAGCTTCGTGAAGAGATCCATAGCTAGACCGATTGACACAACTTACTGAAGTAATATAAATTAGTCTTTGGCTAGATTCCCTGAAATCGGTACAGATATAGATATTTTTGAAGGATCTATAGTAGTGGATTTAAACAAAAATTTTGTTACAGGGATGCATTTAAAAAAAAACTTTTTAAGGATTTTCAGCTGTGGATTTTTGCGGAACGGATATTTTTCTATCCCGTCACCTTTCGGTATTGCGAAAAAAAAACTTTTACCCCACTTTTATATGGCTTCCCGGGTTACCAGAAAAATTTCATGTTTTGCAATAGCCTCCACAAAAAGCTGCCGATTTCAAGAATTTTGAATTCTCACCAAATGGTTATATAAATTATATAACTATTAATTCCGAATAGTATAAATTAATTATTATTATTTTTTTTTTAATTATTTATATAATATTTGCTATTTTTTTCAATATTGCATGACAAATTCATATAAAGTTCGCTGATTGTTTTTTTTTCCCTCATGATTTTCACATGAATTTGTCAGAATAATATTTTGTTTGGTCGACGTTGTTGTTGTTGTTGTTTTTGTTTATTTTGTGAAGGCTGTTAAAATAACAAAATGTCTGTGTGTGAAAATTGTCCCCAAAATAAGACAAAGGAAAAAACCAAAAAAAAAAGAAAAGTGAAACGGCGACAAAAAATGACAAGTACTTCAACTAGTCAAGGCTGTCAAAAACTCATCTCAAAGATTTGACGAAATAAAAACAACAACCACAATAATAATAATAACAATCATAACGACAACAACATAGAACTAGAAATAATATCTGCATTTAAAAATATACCTTTAGAGACGGCGGACAACAACGACTACCTTAAATACTTATTGGTATTATATGCGATAAATGTGCTGTGCGTGTGTGTGTACTTAAATGCCGAATGCGCGCACGATGTGCTATTTGAGATTTTAATCTCTTTCGAAAAAAATATCTTTAGACCAAAATACTTCTATCTACCACTGGCATAAATGTGTGTTCTAAGGAAGATTTTTTTTGAACATCTTTATACGTACACATGCATATGTGTGTGTATGTATTTATGTATGTATATATTGCATATATATTTCCACTAAAATATCCGATTACAGGAAAACTACTATTCTATGGACAATTTTCAATACAAAATTGTCCACATTTGGAGGGGGCCTGCTATGGCGTTCATTGACTGCAGTTTGGAACACCAGCCAGCTCCGCCACCACGAAGTACTTAAAGGTGAACTACGAGTATTCTACTACATAAATAAATTATGTTTACATTTAATCACTTGGAGATTAACAGATTGTCATCTATTGGAAATTATTGTTTTTTCCAAATGTAAATTATTGCGTGAATCGGAATTAGGAATGTCATCAGTACATAGACCTAGAAATTACTGTGGTAAATAGATGGAAATTTTAAAATATGGAATATATGAGAGATGAAGAATTTTCAAAAAAAAAATAACCGGGAAGGACATCCAAAATAAATAGGGTTTTTAAAATACAGTATAAAGTTCCTAAATGTCCTGGAATTTTTGTCATAAAGAAAGAACTTGAGAAAATATTGCAAAAAAAAAACAGTAAGGGAAGTTGTAAAGTCGGACTGTGCCGACTATATGTTACCCTTCACCACTTTGAGTATATTCAACATACATCAATTTCATGTCAATGTTCTCTCGAAGGAACAAATTTAAATATATGATCTATACCTATATAGAAGTGAACCGACAACATCAATCCATACACATGCCTTTCTGCAACCAATGCTAAATATCATTTCATTCGGACAGATTTAGAGTCGTTTGCGTACAATGGACAAAAATATGTAAATCGATTTATCTCGGACAAACTTTAGGTCTTTAGTGTACAATTTACATAAAATCGAAAGAAAATATATATGGGAGCTATATCGAAATCTGAACCGATGTTCACGAAACTTGACACACATCATTCTAGACGTTATTCAGTACGATATGCCAAATTTCGTGCAAATCGAAAGATATATAGGGAAATTTGTGCACCATTTACAATAAATCGGGGGAAAATATATATGGGAGCTATATCTAAATCTGAATCGATTTTTACGAAACTTAGCGCACATCATTCTAGACTTAATTCAGTACCCCATGCCAAATTTCGTGCAAATCGAAAGATATATAGGGACATTTTGTAAAGTAGGACTGTGTCCTACCATTTACATTAAATCGGAAGAATATATATGGGAGCTAAATATAAATCTGAACCGATGTTTACGAAACTTAGCGCATATCATTCTAGACTTAATTCAGTAAATCGAAAGATATATAGGGACCTTTGTGCACTATTTGCATAAAATCGGAAGAAAATATATATGGGAGCTATATCTAAATCTGAACCGATTTTTACGAAACTTAGCACACATCATTCTAGACTTATTTCAGTACCCTATGCCAAATTTTGTGCAAATCAAATGATATATAGGGACCTTTGTGCACCATTTGCATAGAATCGGAAGAAATATATATATGGGATCTATATCTAAATTTGAACCGATTTTCACGAAACTTGACACACATCATTCTAGACATAATTCAGTACTTTATGCCAAATTTCGTGCAAATCGGAAGATATATAGGGACCTTAGTACACCATTTACATGAAATCGGAAGAAAATATAAGTATGGGAGCTATATCTAAATTTGAACCGACTTTTACGAAACTTAGCGCACATCATTCTAGAACTTATTCAGTACCCTATGCCAAATTTCGTGCAAATCGAATGATATATAGGGACCTTTGTGCACCATTTACATAGAATCGGAAGAAAATATATTTGGGAGCTATATCTAATTTTGAACCGATTTTCACGAAACTTGACGCACATCATTATAGACTCAGTTCAGTATGCTATGCCAAATTTCGTGCAAATCGAAATATATATATATAGGGTCTCTGGTGCACAATATATATAAAATCGGACGAAAATATATATGTGAGCTATATCTAAATCAGAACCGATTTTCACGAAACTTAGCACATGTCATTCTAGACTTAATTTAGTACGTTATACCAAATTTGGTGTAAATCGAAAGATATATAGGGACCTTGGTACACCATTTACATTAAATCGGACGAAAATATATGTATGGGAGCTATATCTAAATTTGAACCGACTTTTTCGAAACTTAGCGCACATAATTCTAGACTTAATTCAGTATCCTATGCCAAATTTCGTGCAAAACGAAATTCGTCCTTGGGCCAAATAAATGAGCTGTACCAAATTTCATCTAAATCGGAATATAAATGTGCCCTGTTTACAATTTAACATCAACCGGCATAAATCGATTCAGAAAGTAATTCTATGCATTTTCTCAAAAAGAACCAAGGGTCTATCTCGATTCCTTTTGCCTTAAAAAATTCTTAAATTCTTCTTAAAAAAACCCCTTATATATTTAAAAATTTACAATTGTGTCCATTATAGTACTTCGAAAAAATTCTTTAAAAATTCACGCTTCGTCCTTCGAAAAAATATTATTTAACAATCCACCAAATGGTCCTACGAAAAATATTTTTTTAAAATCCATGCTGGTGTTCAAGATAGTATTTCGAAAAACTTTGTTTTAAAAATCCACACTTCATTGCCAAAAATTATTCTTTCAAAATCCACAGTTTCGGTCAATATCGTCCTTCGAAAAATATTCTTCAGACATCAAACTTCAGGTCAGGTCAATCCTTTTTTTCTTGGGGAAAATATCCTTTAAATATACACATTTTCAGCATTTCGAGTCCTTTCGAAAAATTTTAAATTGCCATATTTTTATTGCTGAGAATAAGAATATCGAAAAAAAGTTTTGAAATTACACCACTGTGCTGGCGTAGATAATTTATTTAATGACACCGTTTTAAGAATTACTGTCACCAACAAATTTTGTTGTTGACAAAATGCAGGCTGCAAGGTGGCAGACCTAGCTGTACGTCTGTCCCTTCGACGCCCCACTCCAAATCCTACACATGGAATGCCATTGATTTGTGATGTGGTTTTTGGTGGCGGCGGTGGTGGTGGTGACAATGGCTGCCATACCAGATGAGCCATAAAGTGGTGGCACTGACACCACTTAAGGGAAACCAAAAATCATTTACACGGCATCACCAAAGAAAGGAAAAGTGTCCCCACACACACACAAACACATACCAACATACACACAAACACATTAATTGCACATTTTAATGCCTTTTTCCTTTGGTCATGAACTTTTTTTTCTAAAATGTAAATTTTAATATTTAAAATAAGAAAGTAGACACATTTTTGACTTACCATATTTGAAGCACCACTGTGCAATTGCAGAAAACAGTTAGGTGTATCACCCAGTAACAATGATCCGCCGCCATTGAGTTCCGCCTCACCCATGGCGGAGTTTGTATTTAGCGGAGCTGTACCCTCTACCACTGCCTTTAGCTGTTTAATATACATTGTAGCCAGTCGAAGGGTATCCAATTTGGAAAGTTTCGTATCGGATGGAATGTTGGGCAGTTTGGTTTTCAATCGACCAAATGCACTGGAGAGGACACGCATACGTGCTCGTTCCCGGGCATTTGCGGCATTACGTTGCACGGGTGGATTGGAACCTGAAATAAAATAGTAATTAATTACAGAAAATTAATTATTAAAAATATTTCTTTATAAAGCTGGTTGTGCATTAGAAATATTAGTAAAAAAATAGTGCACTTATTGTCCTGCTCGAGCCTCAGAAATATTATTTAAAAACCCACGCCTTAGTGCCTGAAAAATATTTTTTAATCCAGACCTTCAGAAATGTTTTTAATAATTCGAGGCCAAAAACAGAATTTTCTTAAAAATCCAAAAATCTGATTTTTTTAAAAAGATTGAATTGGCACCTTGATGAGGTATCAGAAATATTAAAAACCAAAATTAAAAAATCAGATTTTTTTTAAAAAAAAGTTAAAAATCTGAATTTTTTAAAAAATCCAAAAATCAAAATTTTAAAATTAAAATAAATATGTTTTAATGATTTTATAAGGGTGAAATAAGGTAGGTCCAGCCAAATGAAATGTTTTTAGGTGGTTTCCTGTAAAATAAGAAACCCACAGGGGATTTTGAAGAAATCCGTGGGAGGGCTCAAGGTACCTATGCACCAAAAAATGCAAAAATCAAAATTTTTAAAAAAATCCAAAAATCAGAATTTTTGAAGAATCAAAAAATCAGAATTTCAAAAAATTCAACAATCAGATTAAAACCAGTAAGGAAAGTAGTAAAGTCGGACGGGCCGACTATATGATACCCTTCACCACTTTGGGTATATTCAACAAATGAATCCTAACATTGGATCCATAAACATGTCATTCTACAACCAATACTAAATTTTGCATTTGGTCAGATATAGAAGCTATATCTAAATCTGAACCGATTTTCAGGAAACTTAACACACATCATTCTCGGCCTAATTCATTACGCTGTGCTAAATTTCGTGCAAATCGAAAGATATATAGGGACTTTGGTGGACCATTTACATTAAATCGGACGAAAATATATATGGGAGCTATATCTAAATCTTAACCGATTTTCTTGAATTTCAATAGGGTTCGTCCTTGGGCCAAATAAGTGAATTGTGCCAAATTTCATCCAAATCGGATCATAAATTAAATCGGACGAAAATATATATGGGAGCTATATCTAAATCTGAACTGATTTTCAGGAAACTTAACACACATCATTCTCGGCCTAATTCATTACGCTATGCTAAATTTCGTGCAAATCGAAAGACATATAGGGACTTTGGTGGACCATTTACATTAAATCGGACGAAAATATATATGGAAGCTATATCTAAATCTGAACCGATTTTCAGGAAACTTAACACACATTATTCTAGATCTAATTCAGTACGCTGTGCCAAATTTCGTGTAAATCGAGAGATATATAGGGACTTTGGTGCCCCATTAATTTTAAATCGGACGAAAATATATATGGGAGCTATATCTAAATCTGAACCGATTTTCTTGAATTTCAATAGGGTTCGTCCTTGGGCCAAATAAGTGACTTGTGCCAAATTTCATCTAAATCGGATCATAAATGCGACCTGTACTTTGTTCACAAAAATACGTTGACGGACAGACAGACGGACGGACATGCATAAATCGACTCTCAAAAGGAACCATGTGTCTATCTCGTTTCTATTTGCCTGTTACAAACATATGCACAAAGACATAATACCCTGTACCACAGTGTGTTGAAGGGCATAAAAATCCACGCCTTGCCTAGAGCTCAAAAATTGGTCTCAGATATATTTTTTTAAAAAATCCCCCATTTACTTACTTTGCGAACTGGCATCCTCATCAAAATCATCATCCATTAATTCGAAGGGACTTGCCGAACGCTTCTTACGGGGCATTTTTGTTACTTTTCTTTAGACAAATTGCACTTTTTTAAGATTTCTTTAAGATTTTTTTCAATATATTTTTTATTCAAAAAAATATTTTAATTCTCTATTTTATTTCACAATGCACTTGATTGCACTTCACTTGAGAATATTTTAATTAATTTTATTGTATTTTTTTAAAATATTTAGGTTTTCTTTTAAAGTATTCAAATTCAAAAAATGTCTTCTATATTTTTTCGAGATCCCGAACAACCTCTTGGGAAAACACTTAAGAAGGAACTGAAGAGATCTCTTAAAGATCGTGCATATTTACGTACTCTCGTACTCTCTTTCTATGGTTAGACCATTATGACATTTTAACCTAATATTGCATGAGAGGGAGATTTTGTTTTTTTTTTTTAAGAGAACATCATCTCTAGGATACTATTTTTAGGCGCCTCTATCCATATGTTAATAGACAAATTGTGGGAGGAGACACGATGCAAACACTGGCAGGCCCATAAGGCGCTAAAACAAGCAGCCAACAAAAACAAATTAGATAAACATTCTGAAACAACAACAAACACATCTCTCCTCTCATTCATTGGTGGTAAGAGGAACAAAATAACAATGGCTGCCCATTACACAAACAACGGAAACGGCTGAGATTTGCCGAAAAGGCGAATGGCAATCGGATAGGTTATTCGTTGTTCTTAAGTGGGTTGGTTGGATATAACATGAATGTAGATCACATTAATTAGTGTGTATGAGTGTGTTCGATTTTTAAGGGAAAACTCTTTCCCCTTTCTCTCTCTCTCTCTTGCTCTTGAAACTCTTAATAGAGATTGTATATTTGTTCTAATGAAGGGAGTAAAGATCCCTTTCTTGAATATCGGGCTCTGTGTTTATTGGAAAAACAAATCGTAGCGATTGCGTACATATTGTTTTGACATCCAATGTAAATATTTAGATGATTTGAATGATTTATATTATAAATAAGATATTCAAAATAGACAAGGGAACCGGCATAATAAGTGGTTACTAAGGGGGTACTTAGGGAACAATAAACAATTTATTTTAAATAATATTCCTGGGGCTCTAGACAAGGCGTGGATTTTTTAAATAAGATTCTTGAGGCTCTATGCAAGGCGTGGATTTTTTAAATAACATTCTTGAGGCTCTAGGCAAGGCGTGGATTTTTTAAATAACATTCTTGAGGCTCTAGGCAAGGCGTGGATTTTTTAAATAACATTCTTGAGGCTCTAGGCAAGGCGTGGATTTTTTAAATAACATTCTTGAGGCTCTAGGCAAGGCGTGGATTTTTTAAATAACATTCTTGAGGCTCTAGGCAAGGCGTGGATTTTTTAAATAACATTCTTGAGGCTCTAGGCAAGGCGTGGATTTTTTAAATAACATTCTTGAGGCTCTAGGCAAGGCGTGGATTTTTTAAATAACATTCTTGAGGCTCTAGGCAAGGCGTGGATTTTTTAAATAACATTCTTGAGGCTCTAGGCAAGGCGTGGATTTTTTAAATAACATTCTTGAGGCTCTAGGCAAGGCGTGGATTTTTTAAATAACATTCTTGAGGCTCTAGGCAAGGCGTGGATTTTTTAAATAACATTCTTGAGGCTCTAGGCAAGGCGTGGATTTTTTAAATAACATTCTTGAGGCTCTAGGCAAGGCGTGGATTTTTTAAATAACATTCTTGAGGCTCTAGGCAAGGCGTGGATTTTTTAAATAACATTCTTGAGGCTCTAGGCAAGGCGTGGATTTTTTAAATAACATTCTTGAGGCTCTAGGCAAGGCGTGGATTTTTTAAATAACATTCTTGAGGCTCTAGGCAAGGCGTGGATTTTTTAAATAACATTCTTGAGGCTCTAGGCAAGGCGTGGATTTTTTAAATAACATTCTTGAGGCTCTAGGCAAGGCGTGGATTTTTTAAATAACATTCTTGAGGCTCTAGGCAAGGCGTGGATTTTTTAAATAACATTCTTGAGGCTCTAGGCAAGGCGTGGATTTTTTAAATAACATTCTTGAGGCTCTAGGCAAGGCGTGGATTTTTTAAATAACATTCTTGAGGCTCTAGGCAAGGCGTGGATTTTTTAAATAACATTCTTGAGGCTCTAGGCAAGGCGTGGATTTTTTAAATAACATTCTTGAGGCTCTAGGCAAGGCGTGGATTTTTTAAATAACATTCTTGAGGCTCTAGGCAAGGCGTGGATTTTTTAAATAACATTCTTGAGGCTCTAGGCAAGGCGTGGATTTTTTAAATAACATTCTTGAGGCTCTAGGCAAGGCGTGGATTTTTTAAATAACATTCTTGAGGCTCTAGGCAAGGCGTGGATTTTTTAAATAACATTCTTGAGGCTCTAGGCAAGGCGTGGATTTTTTAAATAACATTCTTGAGGCTCTAGGCAAGGCGTGGATTTTTTAAATAACATTCTTGAGGCTCTAGGCAAGGCGTGGATTTTTTAAATAACATTCTTGAGGCTCTAGGCAAGGCGTGGATTTTTTAAATAACATTCTTGAGGCTCTAGGCAAGGCGTGGATTTTTTAAATAACATTCTTGAGGCTCTAGGCAAGGCGTGGATTTTTTAAATAACATTCTTGAGGCTCTAGGCAAGGCGTGGATTTTTTAAATAACATTCTTGAGGCTCTAGGCAAGGCGTGGATTTTTTAAATAACATTCTTGAGGCTCTAGGCAAGGCGTGGATTTTTTAAATAACATTCTTGAGGCTCTAGGCAAGGCGTGGATTTTTTAAATAACATTCTTGAGGCTCTAGGCAAGGCGTGGATTTTTTAAATAACATTCTTGAGGCTCTAGGCAAGGCGTGGATTTTTTAAATAACATTCTTGAGGCTCTAGGCAAGGCGTGGATTTTTTAAATAACATTCTTGAGGCTCTAGGCAAGGCGTGGATTTTTTAAATAACATTCTTGAGGCTCTAGGCAAGGCGTGGATTTTTTAAATAACATTCTTGAGGCTCTAGGCAAGGCGTGGATTTTTTAAATAACATTCTTGAGGCTCTAGGCAAGGCGTGGATTTTTTAAATAACATTCTTGAGGCTCTAGGCAAGGCGTGGATTTTTTAAATAACAATCTTGAGGCTCTAGGCAAGGCGTGGATTTTTTAAATAACAATCTTGAGGCTCTAGGCAAGGCGTGGATTTTTTAAATAACATTCTTGAGGCTCTAGGCAAGGCGTGGATTTTTTAAATAACATTCTTGGCTCTAGGCAAGGCGTGGATTTTTTAAATAACATTCTTGGCAAAGGCGTGGATTTTTTAAATAAGATTCTTGAGGCTCTAGGCAAGGCGTGGATTTTTTAAATAACATTCTTGAGGCTCTAGGCAAGGCGTGGATTTTTTAAATAACATTCTTGAGGCTCTAGGCAAGGCGTGGATTTTTTAAATAACATTCTTGAGGCTCTAGGCAAGGCGTGGATTTTTTAAATAACATTATTGAGGCTCTAGGCAAGGCGTGGATTTTTTAAATAAGATTCTTGAGGCTCTAGGAAAGGCGTGGATTTTTTAAATAACATTCTTGAGGCTCTAGGCAAGGCGTGGATTTTTTAAATAATATTCCTGTGGCTCTAGACAAGGCATGGATTTTTTAAATAACATTCTTGAGGCTCTAGGCAAGGCCTGGATTTTTTAAATAACATTCTTGAGGCTCTAGGCAAGGCGTGGATTTTTTAAATAAGATTCTTGAGGCTCTAGGCAAGGCGTGGATTTTTTAAATAAGATTCTTGAGGCTCTAGGCAAGGCGTGGATTTTTTAAATAAGATTCTTGAGGCTCTAGGCAAGGTGTGGATTTTTTAAATAAGATTCTTGAGGCTCTAGGCAAGGCGTGGATTTTTTAAATAAGATTCTTGAGGCTCTAGGAAAGGCGTGGATTTTTTAAATAACATTCTTGAGGCTCTAGGCAAGGCGTGGATTTTTTAAATAAGATTCTTGAGGCTCTAGGAAAGGCGTGGATTTTTTAAATAACAATCTTGAGGCTCTAGGCAAGGCGTGGATTTTTTAAATAACATTCTTGAGGCTCTAGGCAAGGCGTGGATTTTTTAAATAACATTCTTGAGGCTCTAGGCAAGGCGTGGATTTTTTAAATAACATTATTGAGGCTCTAGGCAAGGCGTGGATTTTTTAAATAACATTATTGAGGCTCTAGGCAAGGCGTGGATTTTTTAAATAACATTATTGAGGCTCTAGGCAAGGCGTGGATTTTTTAAATAAGATTCTTGAGGCTCTAGGAAAGGCGTGGATTTTTTAAATAAGATTCTTGAGGCTCTAGGAAAGGCGTGGATTTTTTAAATAAGATTCTTGAGGCTCTAGGAAAGGCGTGGATTTTTTAAATAACAATCTTGAGGCTCTAGGCAAGGCGTGGATTTTTTAAATAACATTCTTGAGGCTCTAGGCAAGGCGTGGATTTTTTAAATAACATTCTTGAGGCTCTAGGCAAGGCGTGGATTTTTTAAATAACATTATTGAGGCTCTAGGCAAGGCGTGGATTTTTTAAATAAGATTCTTGAGGCTCTAGGAAAGGCGTGGATTTTTTAAATAACATTCTTGAGGCTCTAGGCAAGGCGTGGATTTTTTAAATAATATTCCTGTGGCTCTAGACAAGGCATGGATTTTTTAAATAAGATTCTTGAGGCTCTAGGCAAGGCCTGGATTTTTTAAATAACATTCTTGAGGCTCTAGGCAAGGCGTGGATTTTTTAAATAAGATTCTTGAGGCTCTAGGCAAGGCGTGGATTTTTTAAATAAGATTCTTGAGGCTCTAGGCAAGGCGTGGATTTTTTAAATAAGATTCTTGAGGCTCTAGGCAAGGCGTGGATTTTTTAAATAAGATTCTTGAGGCTCTAGGCAAGGCGTGGATTTTTTAAATAAGATTCTTGAGGCTCTAGGCAAGGCGTGGATTTTTTAAATAAGATTCTTGAGGCTCTAGGCAAGGCGTGGATTTTTTAAATAAGATTCTTGAGGCTCTAGGCAAGGCGTGGATTTTTTAAATAAGATTCTTGAGGCTCTAGGCAAGGCGTGGATTTTTTAAATAAGATTCTTGAGGCTCTAGGCAAGGCGTGGATTTTTTAAATAAGATTCTTGAGGCTCTAGGCAAGGCGTGGATTTTTTAAATAAGATTCTTGAGGCTCTAGGCAAGGCGTGGATTTTTTAAATAAGATTCTTGAGGCTCTAGGCAAGGCGTGGATTTTTTAAATAAGATTCTTGAGGCTCTAGGCAAGGCGTGGATTTTTTAAATAAGATTCTTGAGGCTCTAGGCAAGGCGTGGATTTTTTAAATAAGATTCTTGAGGCTCTAGGCAAGGCGTGGATTTTTTAAATAAGATTCTTGAGGCTCTAGGCAAGGCGTGGATTTTTTAAATAAGATTTTTGAGGCTCTAGGCAAGGCGTGGATTTTTTAAATAAGATTCTTGAGGCTCTAGGCAAGGCGTGGATTTTTTAAATAATATTCCTGAGGCTCTAGGCAAGTCGTGGATTTTTTAAATAATATTTTTTAAGGCTCTAGGCAAGGCGTGGATTTTTTAAATAATATTCCTGTGGCTCTAGACAAGGCATGGATTTTTTAAATAATATTTTTTGAGGCTCTAGGCAAGGCGTGGATTTTTTTAAATAATATTCTTGAGGCTGTAGGCAAGGCGTGGATTTTTTTAAATAAGATTCTTGAGGCTCTAGGCAAGGCGTGGATTTTTTAAATAACATTCTTGAGGCTCTAGGCAAGGCGTGGATTTTTTAAATAAGATTCTTGAGGCTGTAGGCAAGGCGTGGATTTTTTAAATAAGATTCTTGAGGCTCTAGGCAAGGCGTGGATTTTTTAAATAAGATTCTTGAGGCTCTAGGCAAGGCGTGGATTTTTTAAATAAGATTCTTGAGGCTCTAGGCAAGGCGTGGATTTTTTAAATAAGATTCTTGAGGCACATCATACCCTTCTCTAACTACACCCCTGTTATTAAACCACTAACACACCCCTTGTTATCACAATGACCGAAATACGCGTACGAGCCTATGTTTTAATTAAATAATTTAATCACAGTCGAATTATCAGCTGCAATAAAACCTTATCTCTGGGAAAATGACCCCTCAGTGACCCATCAACTAATCAACCCAAAACAAGACTTATTTTAATACTCAAACGCGAATCTTTGCAATCAGTTTCATTTCGATCGTTTAGTTATACGGACCGGACAAAATGTGGAGAATAAGTAAAAAATTAATAAATAATTCCGGTTCCATTGTCAAGGATCTGTCGTCAAAGACAGCCGCCATAACAGCAGTTCAAACGCGCAGCAATTCACAGGGTACTGTTCCAGTACCAGAAGTCCCTTCATCGGCAGATGTTGTCATTATTGGTGGTGGTTCAGCGGGTTGTCATACCTTATATCACTTGGCCAAACGTGGTGTGAAGGCGGTGCTCCTCGAAAGAGCAAAACTGACAGCCGGTACAACATGGCATACAGCCGGCTTGGTGTGGCGTCTGCGACCCAACGATGTTGATATTCAGTTATTGGCCAATTCTCGCAACATGTTAATGCAGTTGGAGGAGGAGACGGGTTTAGATCCTGGCTGGATTCAAAATGGCGGTGTATTTATAGCCCATTCAGATGTAGGTCAAGTTCCTCCGAACGGAGATTACTTTGTTGATTATTTTTTTATTTTTGTTTTTCTTTGTGTTGATGGAAAGCTCTTCCGTGTTTGTTGTGAGTGAGTGAGTGATAAGGTGACAATGTAAAAGGGTGAACAGCTAGGGCAATAGAAAATGAAAACGAAAAAAAAATTGCAAAATTTTAAAACGTGCCTCATGTTTTGTTGTTGATCGCGATAAGCCAAAGGTTTGGTGAAAAGCACGTCATCAGTTCGAATTTGAGATTAATTTGGCATAAATAATTTTTTTGTTGACCTTATGATCTTATATGTGATAGACAAAAACCGGATTGGACCACTTTAAGTCGAACTTCATGCCACTATTTTTTTATGAACATTTCTGCGGCTCTAGGCAAAGTGTGGATTAAAAAAAAATACTTCTGAGGCCTCGGGCAAGGCGTGGATTTTTAAGAAAATAGGTCTGAAGATCTAGGCATGGCGTGGATTAAAAATAAATTGTAGGGCTCTAGGAAAGGCACAGATTTTTTTATTTAATGTTTGTTTAGGGCTCTAGGCAAGGTGTGCATTTTTTAAATATTTTTTTAGGCTCTTGGCGAGGCGTGGATTTTTTAAAGAATATTTTTGAGTCTCCAGGCAAGGCGTGGATTTTTTAAAGAATATTTTTGAGTCCCCAGGCAAGGCGTGGATTTTTTAAAGAATATTTTTGAGTCCCCAGGCAAGGCTTGGATTTTTTAAAGAATATTTTTAAAGTCTCCAGGCAAGGCTTGGATTTTTTAAAGAATATGTTTAAAGTCTCCAGGCAAGGCGTGGTTTTTTTAAAGAATATTTTTGAGTCTCCAGGCAAGGCGTGGATTGTTTAAAGAATATTTTTGAGTCTCCAGGCAAGGCGTGGATTTTTTAAAGAATATTTTTAAAGTCTCCAGGCAAGGCTTGGATTTTTTAAAGAATATTTTTGAGTCTCCAGGCAAGGCGTGGATTTTTTAAAGAATATTTTTGAGTCTCCAGGCAAGGCGTGGATTTTTTAAAGAATATTTTTAAAGTCTCCAGGCAAGGCTTGGATTTTTTAAAGAATATTTTTAAAGTCTCCAGGCAAGGCTTGGATTTTTTAAAGAATATTTTTAAAGTATCCAGGCAAGGCTTGGATTTTTTAAAGAATATTTTTAAAGTATCCAGGCAAGGCTTGGATTTTTTAAAGAATATTTTTAAAGTATCCAGGCAAGGCTTGGATTTTTTAAAGAATATTTTTGAGTCTCCAGGCAAGGCGTAGATTTTTTAAAGAATTTTTTTCTAGGGCTCATTTAACCCCGGAAGAGTTTTTTATTTATTCGTTGAACCTTTACCATTTCCTAACTTAATTTCCCAAATATTGCCTCCATTCTCAACAGACCCGCTTGGATGAATATAGACGTTTGGCCACCGTTGGCAATGCTTTGGGTATTGAAAACTACATTTTATCCCCAGAAGAAACCCAGAAAGTATTCCCCCTATTGGATCCCAAGGCATTCATTGGTGCCCTCTATTCTCCCGGTGATGGTGTTGTAGATCCTGCCATGTTATGTACCGCTTTGACAAGGGCCGCCACCAAAAATGGTGCAAGAGTTGTGGAAAACTGTTCCGTCGAGGATTTGGTGGTGGAAGAAACTGGCAAAGGTAAAAAGGTGGTGGGTGTGAAGACCCCTTATGGTACCATAAAAACCGAAAAAGTTGTCAATGCCACCGGTGTATGGGGTCGTGACTTAATCGAGAAGCATGGTTCCTTCCTACCTCTCATCCCAATGAAACATGCCTATATTGTATCGGAATCTATACCTGGTGTAAGGGGTCTACCCAATATTAGAGATCATGATTATTCCACATATTTCCGTATACAAGGTGATGCCATTTGTATGGGTGGTTATGAACCGAATCCGATTCTTTTGGATCCTGTGGCAAAAGATTTCCATTTCGGTTTGTATGATTTGGATTGGTCGGTGTTCGATACACATTTAAATGGTGCCGTAAAACTGTGTCCCACCTATGCCAATTACGGCGTGAAGAGTACCGTGTGTGGTCCTGAGTCCTTTACACCCGATCACAAGCCATTGATGGGTCCTGATACTGTCATATCGGGTTTGTACCATAATTGTGGCTTCAATTCGGCCGGCATGATGTTCGGTGGTGGCTGTGGTGAGCAGACCGCTCTGTGGATTCTAAATGGTAAACCCGATTTGCCAATGTTCGGTTTTGATTTGCGTCGTTTCACCGATAGCCAAAGTCGTGCCACGCAGTGGATTAATGAAAAGTCTCATGAAAGTTATGTGAAAAATTACAGTATGGTTTTCAAATATGATCAACCATTGGCGGGACGTGATTTCCAAAAGGATCCGCTGCATGATGATATGATGGCCGCCAATGCCTTTATGGAAGAGAAGCAGGGTTGGGAGAGGCCAGGATTCTTTTTGAAAGAATCTGCACCGGTCCAGAAGTACGATTGGTATGGCAGTTATGGTAATGCCCGTCACAACGATTGTGCCTACGAACGGGTGCTGGAGGGTGATTTGAAATATAACAGTTTTTCGGATTATCACAATTTGGTGAGTAAATCGCACCACATCTCCGTCATAGAGGCTTTTGACTAATATTATTTCTATTTTTCTGCTTCTTCTTTCTTTTCTTCTCCTCGTTGCCACGCACCACACATTATGGTGCGTGCCACATTTTATTGCCCCTGGTTGTGTTGGGCGAACTTTTTTTGGTGTGATATTTGCTTTAACCACACATAATCTTGTGCGGAACGCGCCACATTGCGGATGTTGTTCTTTCGATTGTTTGGTTGTGTACACACAAACACACACGCTGATTTAAACCAACTGTTACCATATGTCCGTCTGGACCATTCATGTGTCTGTCCATCGATCCATCCGTCTATGGGAATGTTTTTACCTTTCCTCTGGCGCATTGACGCCTGCCCGTTTAATATGTGGGTGTTTGATGTAAACAATGAAAACAAACTCTTCCCCGTCTTGTCTGCCTACCTTCTCCGCCTTATGACTAATGCTGCTGATGATTTTGGTTTTGGCTACTGTATAGATCGGTGAAGAAGCTATGGCCTGCCGCAATAATGCCGTTGTCTTCAATATGAGCTACTTCTGCAAACTCTTTTTGGAGGGTCCTGATGCCCAAAAGGCCGCCGATTGGATATTTACCAGCAACACTAATCGTGATCCTAAGAAGTAAGTAATCAAAATAGGTAAAAACGTGGTTATGTTCGCCCTAACCCGAACATTTTATATTTTGCACAAAAATATCTAAAATTGATCGGAAATTTTATATGGGTATACCTGGGTGTTGATACATTTTTGGTAGCAAGAGTATTTGGCAACCACTGAGAACCTCAAATTTAAAATTATAGGCAAATCAAAGAACAGAAATATTGGAGGTACGGTTATATGGGAGCTACCCTAAAACATGGACCAATAGTAACAATTTATGTTATGGCAATTTCCCTCCTCATGAGAATTCAAAATAACAAATTACAGCCAATTCGGTTAATAAAGGTAACCAAACTCCACAAAATCCCGAAGATCGGGAGGTACTTTTATATGCGGACTACCCTTTAAAGTGGACCAATATTGATAATTTTTGGTAGGAAGATGTGCCACCCCATTAGAACACAAAATCTCAAATTGCAGTCAAATCGGTTAAAAAACTTGCCAAAGTTTACCAAAATATCGAAATTCGGAAGGTACCTTTATATTGGGACTACCCCAAAAAATAGACCAATATTGATAATTTTTGGTAGGATGATTTGTTACCCAACGAAAACCCAAAATACTAAATTACAGTCAATTTGATTGAAAAATGTGCCTAAAATCACTAAAATGCTGAAAATCCGAAGGTGCCGCTATATGTGAACTATCATAAAAAGAGATTAAACTTGATAATTTTTGGTAGGAAGATGTGCAACCCCATGGTAGTTTAAAATACCAAATTACAACCAATTCGATTAATAAACATACCAAAATCCGCCAAAATATCGAAATTCGGAAGGTACCGTTATATGCGAGCTACCCTAAAACGTAGACCAATATTGAAAAATTTTTTTCATGGAAATTTTCCACCAAATGAGATTAAAAAATATCAAATTACAGATAATTCGGTTGATAAACGTAACCAAAGCCCACAAAATATTGGAGTTCGGAAGGTTCTGTTATATGGGAGCTACCCTAAAAATTTGACCAATATTGATAATTTTTGGTAGGAAGATGAGCCTCACCATGGCAATTCAAAATACTAAATAGCAGTCAATTCGGTTAGGTACCCAAAGTCCACAAAAAATCGATATTCGAGAGGTACCGTTATATGGGAGTTACCCTAAAAAGTAGACCTATGCTGATAATTTTTTTGTGGGGAGATTTTCTATACAATAGGAATTCAAAATACTAAATTACAGCCAATTTGGTTGAAAAATGTACCCGAACTTCCGAAACATACCGAAATTTGGGAGGTACCACTAAATGGGTACCTCCAATATTGCTAATTTTTCATAGGAAGATATGCTACATAATGAAAAAATAGAATATATCAAACTGGAGCCAATTCGACTGAAAAACGAGACCAAACACCTCAAAATACCGAAATTCGGGAGGTCCCATTATATAGGTCCTACTCCAGAACTTGGACCAATATTGATAATTTTTGTAGGCAGATTTTTCTACCCTTTGAGAATTCAAAATAGCGAATATGTGGTAAAATTCGGTAGGAAAAACATGCCCAAAATATCGAATATTGAGGGGTAGCGTTATATGACGGCTATAGGAAAACATGGCCCCATATATCATTTTCGATATTAAACATCCTAGAAGAATATTTCAAAATATTTTCTTTGGATAGATTTTATATCGAATAACTCTATGTGTTAACCTAAAAATTGTTAAACGGTACCATTATATGAGGGCATACGAAAACGTGGACCCATATATTCAAAATATTTTTCCTGGTTAAATTTTATATCGAACAAGTTTATGTATTAACCTAAAAAACTGTATTTCTTTTTCCATTTTTCAGAACCGTCTATACCTGCGCCCTGAATGACGCCGGTGGCGTTGAGGCTGATGTTACCATTTCTCGTTTGAATTCCGGCTCGGGAGCAGTGCATGATCCCAAATTTGAGGGACAAGGTTTTTATATTGTGGCCGGTGGCGCTTCGGCCTACTACACCTACACCATGATGAAGGATGAAATACGTCGTCAGGGATTTAATGCCACCGTTCGTGATGTTACTGCCGATATGGGTGTTATCTCGATACAAGGACCCAAATCACGGGAGATCCTCCAAAAGCTGGTCAACTGTGAACTGAGTGATGAAAATATTCCACCAAATAGCACGGTGTTGGCAAAGTGCAAAGACGCCGTCAACAATTCCACCGAGTACGGTGTGCGATTGTTACGGGTCAGTTTCGTCGGCGAATTGGGTTATGAGTTGCATGTACCCAAGGAGTATTGTTCCCAGGTCTATCGTTCTCTCATGAAGTTGGGCGAACCCAATGATTTACGCAATGCCGGTTATCGTGCCCTCTACTCGTTGAGCAGTGAAAAAGGTTATCATTTATGGAGTTTCGATTTACGTCCCGATGATACACCCTTGGAAGCGGGATTAGGTTTTACTTGTCGCAAGGAGGGTAACTATAAGGGCAAGGAAGCCATTGATCGACAACGCCAGGAGGGTGTGAAGAAACGTTTAGTCTACTTGACATTGGACGATCAAGTACCCATTTGGGGTTTGGAAGGTGTTTATCGTAATGGTGAACCGGTTGGTTTCTTGCGCAGGGCGGAATATGCCTACTATTTGGGTAAACCCTTGGGTCAGACATATATCTCTAAGCCTGATGGTGGTATTATCGATGTGGATTATATTAAATCGGGTGAATATGAAATTGATATTATGGGTAAACGCTACAAGGCTAAGGCTCATTTGAGAAGTCCCTTCGATTTGGAGGGTAAACGGGTGTTGGGTATTTATTAAGAGGAAGAAGGGGCGTGAGTTAGAAATTAATGTATTTTTTAAGAAATTGTTTTAATAAATAAATGTCTGTAAAATTAAAAAAAAATAAATAAATATTTTTTTAACATGTCCGTCATGCAAAGTACAGAAATCCTTTTAAATGGACTATAGAAAGATATTTAGAAAAGTGTTATACCGCATGACGACCCCAAGGTATTCTATGAACAGAAGAACTTTGACAGTGTTTTCTATAGGCCATAGAACTTTCAAAAAATTGTCTATAGAAATTGCCTTTTTGAAAGATAATCTTTTCAGTCTGTAGAAGAACTTTGAAAATGTCTTCAGGCTAAGGTTTTCCGATGATACAGAGCCCATTATAAGTTATGAAATGCATTTTAAAATGTCTCATCTGTATTGAAGGTCTTTTTAATGGCCTTCTGACAATGGAAGACCTTTTCAATGATCTCCGGCCAATAGAAGACCTTTTCAATGTTCTATAAAAAAACTTTTTTAAGATCTACAATCTATTAATTACCTACCATCAATAATTGAATTAATACTTCGTATTAATTTTCTAACAATAGGTGTTATTTTCAATTACCCGATATCGAAATAATTTGGAAAATACATATGCGAATTATGTAACACCAAGAGTGTCTAAGGTAAAGAAACAATGGAATGCAAATCTAGTCAGAAGCGAGTGAGTGGAAAGTCGACGGTTGTTAGCAACGAAAACATTCTGGGCTCGTATTTCAACCGTATTCGCTCTGATTCAATATTTTTGGTTCTCAAAGGGCAAAAAATATTTCTATCAAAACTATCAATATTGGTTCACTTTGTTTGGGAAAAATTTTCAACCGAATTGGCTTCAGTTTCAAATATAAGGTTCTCGTAGGGTGTCACAACAAAATATTATCAATATTGGTCCACTTTTTGGGGTTGCTCCCTTTTATTCTGCATTTTGAGGATGTTGGGCACGTTTTTCAACCAAGTATTTTGGTCGTCATTTGGAAGCACCTCTACATATCAAAAATTAACAACATTAGTCGATTTTTTGGGTAGTTCCCATATAACGGTAGTTCCCATATAACTGTACCACCCAAATTTCGGATTCAAAGGAAGAGTGGGCACATTTCTTAACCAAATTAGCGGTAATTTTGTATTTTGAATAATTTTTGGGTAGAAAATCTCCAAAAATCAAAAATTATCAATATTGGTCTACATTTCGCGGTAGCACCCATATAATGGTACTACTTAAAATTGGGACTTTTGCCATGTTTTTCAAAACTTTTGGCGGTAATTTTGGATCTTGATTAAACTATCTTCGCAATAACAATGATTAATATTGGCCAATTTTTGTCAGGGTATGGAGCATAACCAGTCGTATTGAGCTGCAGCGACTACGGTGGCTAGGCCATGTTGTGCGAATGAATGAGAATGCCAAAGCTCAAAAGGCATATAAAAGCGAGTCTACTGATGGTTCCCGTAGAAGGGGAAGGCCACGAATTAGATGGAAAGATCAAGTAGAAAACAACATCTTGGAACGTGGTCTTTCAAATTGAAGGATATGCGCACAAGACCGACTCGTTTGGAAATCTTTTTTAAGCTCGGCTTATGGAACAACCGTTCTGTAACAAGCCAGCTAAGTAAGCGCTCTTATGACGGTACCATTTTTTGTATTTTGAGAAGTTTGAGAATTTTTGAAACCACTGTGGCAGCAATTTCATATTTTAGATACTCATTGGCTAGAAAATCTCCATACCACAACAGTACCCTCAATTGTTCTGTTTTTTTTTTTTCTTTTTTTTATTGGGCGCCGTTTTCCGACCATATTAGTTATAATTATATATTTTGGGTTCTAATTGGTTGTTACATATATTTTCTACCAAAAACTCACTATGACATAGCCCTGCACAAAAAAATTCCGATAGATTTTAAGTGTTTTGAAGGTCCACCCCATGGAGAAGGTTCTAAAAAATTTCGGCCCCATCGTACTTAAAAACCTTTTTACTTGTTATACACTCAGCCTTATGGGTTAATGAGGGCATATACACCTCGATACGTCAAAAATATGCCTCATCGAAATATTGATTTTAGACCCCATGTTTCATTGGACCAAATCCGTTTCAGACAATTTGGAATTGATTTAAAAATTTAAGCCCGTCTCTCCGTCGGTCTGGTCGACTGGTGAGCACAATAAATTTCGAAGGGAGCAACCGATTTTATTCAAACTTTGCACATCGTAATATTTCTTCCAAACTTAGATAATGTTCGAAGATGGGGAATATCTGTCAACTCCTTCTTCTGGTACCTCCCACACACCTCCAAAAAGTTTCAAAAATTTCATCATTTATAAATTCCTTATTAGTCCGGTTTGATCGAAACTGTGCGTAATACTTCGTTCAAACTCGAATTTTATCTAAAAATGGAGAAAATTGGTTCACTTTATCTAGTATGTACCTTCCACACAAAATTGTCAAGATTGTACTGAAAATGATTTTTTTTTTAATATTTTGCGAACAGAACATCCGATTCAAACCAAACTTTGTAGAACTTAATATGTTTTTAATGCCTGTATAATGTTGGGAGATGGGACCCATTGGCCCACTCCTTTTAGTACCTCTCCTACAAAGTGTTAAATTTTTGATTTTATGTATTATATGCACATCGTAATATTTGTTTCAAATTTATTTCATTTTTGGAAAATGGGACCCATGGGTTCACTCTTTTTAATACCTTACACACAAAATGGTAAAAACTTTGCTGAATAATAATTTTATAATATCAAGAGAACGGACTATTCCAAAGGTGGTCAGGTTATTTATAAAAACATAAATCTAATATAAAGCAAATTCCGTATAACCCCGCAAACCATAGGCTTAGGGTTTTTTACTTGTCTCAACATAACCTAAAATAAACCACAAACACTTGTTACATACAATATCTCCCGCTCACACTTTCCCTATACGTGTGTGGCGACATACTGTCTGCCAATGCAATTTGAATCACCCGTTCTTAGAAGAAAATAAAAACATACCCAGAATCCTTGACATTTCTTTCCTTAGTTATTAATTAAGCAATTAATACAACGTCCCAAAAGAATTTGAAACAAAAGAAAAACACTCAGGCACTTATTAAAGTATTGTAGTGTGTGTGCGAGTGTGTGTTTGGGTGAAATTTCAAGTGCCTTCTATGCTAAGCCAGAGCAGCTCTCTTCATTCATTGATAAACCAGTAAAGAAAGTAGTAAGGTGGGGCGGGACCGACTATATGAAACCCTTCACCACTATGGTTATATTAAACAGGACTATTAACATGAAATTCGATGGAATAAAATATGCGATACTAGCAAAGTGCCCGCTACTTCGTATGCGGAAAGAGAAAAAGAAAAGAAAATAATATTTCATGTGGAGGTCGTGAATACTGTATATTTTGCTGTACAATAGTTCTGAATTGTACTTTTATTCCTACATATAATATCAACACTATTTTCCGAAATCTCTTTCCTATTTCCATTACACAGATTTAGAATACATCACAATTTCAAATATATATTTACTAACAGGTTCCACATTTAGTTCAATTTAGTACTTTTTGAACACATAAGTACATAATTTCAAGACTATCTCCGTACCACCATCACTAAATTAAGTACCAAAAACCCTTTAGTACTTCCTTCAAACTCTCCGTCATCGACCCACATTCCAAATTTTAGGTTTCCAGCTCTCTCCAAAATCCAAATTTAGTGCTTTTTTTATTCTATAAATTCGAGTTTCCAAAGTTGTTTTCATAGCTCAATACTACACTTCAAGAGTCATATAAATTTCAAATCTCAGGATTCAACCAAATCCAAATTATTCAAAATTTTTTACCATTCACTAATTTTCATACTCATATATAAGAATTTCTAAAACTACATCAATCCTACACCCTAACAATAATCTTAATTCAACAAAAGTTCAAAATTTAGTATTTTTTGTACTCATAAGTTCAAATTTCCAAAGTACCTCATCAATCCTGATTTTAAATAGTAATCGTAAGAACAAATTTAAAAATCCAGCTCTGTATTTATAATGAACATTCAGAGGTGGATTTTTTAAATTTGTTCTTACTACCAGATTTGGTACAATTCAGTACTTTTCGTACCCATATTCCAAACCTGTCTTTAAATGGTAATTGTGTGTCCAAATGTAAAAATTTCAGATCTGTCTATTTACCAAAGCCAAATAGACAGAAAGCCAAATTGTACCAGATTTGGTACCATTCTGTACTTTTCGTATTTATATTCCAAACCTATTTCAATCTAACCATAAGCACGAATTTCCAAAACTACGTCAGACCAGCTTTATCCGTTCACCAACTTTTCGTAGACATAAGTACCAGTTTCTACAACTTCCTCAATTCCACATATTTGGTACCATTTAGTATTTTCCGTACTTATGAGTTCGAATTTCCAACACTGTATATAACAGTAATTTTAGTTTCAATTATAAGTTTTCCATTTCTATCCTTCACTGTAATCTAAATTGTACTAATTATGAGTACCATTTAGTACACATAATTATGGATTTTCAAAACTACCTCCATGTCTCAACCTACACTCCAACTGTAATTTTAATTCCAAATTTTACGTTTCCGCTCACACAAAACAAATTGTACCATTTAGCGCTTCTCGTATCCATAAGTACGAAATTCCAATACAACCTTAATTCTTTAATTTCCATTTCAAATGTAAGTTTTCAATCTCTATCCGTTCTCTTAAATCTAAATTGTACCAAATATAGGACCATTTAGTACATATAAGGACGAATTTTCAAAACTTCCGACATATCTCAATCCTGCACTCCAACTGCAATATTAATTAAAAATTTCAGCATCTCATCCCTATCCGTTCACGCAAAAACAATTTGTAAACTATTTGGTACCATTTAGTACCTTTTGTTTCTATAATTAGGAATTTTCTTAAACTACGTCAATCCTACACTCCAACATTAATTTTAATTACAAAATTCTGGAGTCCAGTTCTATC